CAGCAGGGTGTGAGGGGGAGGGGGTATGAGAGGGGGTAGGGAAAGAAGATATACCAATAAACAACACAACCGGGACGCTAATCATCAGCGCTAAGAGGAGGAGTGATGCCATGACATGAGTGAATTACGATTTCTCCCCTGAGACTCTTATACTGAGATTGTTGAATCGGGGTCTTTTTGTTTATCAAAAGTTCTTTCTTCTTTCTTTTAAAGGGGTGGGGGAGGGGCAGAGGGGGAGAGGGCAGAAAAGATTGCTAGGCTACTAGTAGGTGCTAAGTAGGTGTCGTATATATGTGAGAATAGAATGCGTTTCGCTTACAGTACTTGTATAGCACAAGTAAGGCGGGTGGGCGCAAAAATGGATGTAGGTTATATTAGGTTGGAAGCGAGGTAAGGCGAAGTGCATGAGATGAGGTGCATGAGCTTAGGTACCAGTAAGGAATTACGTAAGCATGACTAAGCGACTGCGTGCATGGTTTATATAAATACTTAGATACCTAGGTACGGTAGGTAGAACGTCCTCGCTAACCTACCTAGGTGGCATAGTTCGTTAGCCCCTATCGCGGTTTAGATGGAAAAAGTAGCGGTTTATTTATCCTTAGGCCTATATGTAATAAGCTATAACTTTCTATATTAAAAAAATACCTTCAAGTATAAGTTATATAAAAAACGTTTTAAATATATTTATTATTATTAATTAAAAGCTTTAGAACTAGATTAGAAAGAAAGGAAAATAAACTAGATTTCGAAAATCTCTTTACGTAATTAAAAAGATAAGGACTTTTATTTTAGGGTATTTAGTATAACCTTTTATTAAAAGCTATATATAAACTAGAAAGTACTTCGCTGTTTATTATATATAGTACTAAGGTTTAGCTCTAACGTTAGGTTTCGAATATATATAACTTAGTTGTTTTTTATTAAACTATACCTTGAAACTTTAGAAATCTATAATTTACCTTAAGAAGTAATATAGCTTAAACTAATTGTAACGAATACTCAAACTGGCTAACTAAACTTGGCTTGGTGTTCGCTGGTTGGTATGCTATGATAAGAAGAAGACTATCGGGTTGTTCACTTGGAAGTGAACTCGTTACTTGTATCAAAGATGTCAAACTAATATGATAAGATTGATAACTAAGTTGAGCACGAAGCTCCTATCTAATGGCAGAAGTGCCAGTCTTATATAGAACCTTCGTTCTACTGGATCCCTACTGGATCCATCGGGGTCCATCACGTGACAACAACCAAATGAAATCCATGGATCGCTTAGCTGGCCTAAGCAATCCCTATTTGCTATAAGAAACCTGGATGTGCCTGTCGAGGGTTGCGCCTCTTTATTATGACAAGTATCACGTGAGCATGTGATTCGTGACATTTAGCTATAGTTACCTTCTATCCTCCTTTATATACTAGATCTTCTACTACCTACTTATAGGTCTATAGAATCTATATACCTATAATAACTTCTACTAGAAATACTAAGTTATATTTTAATAGAACCTCTAGTTTATTAATATTTACTCTATTATTATTATAAATAGCCTTCGCGATTACCATGATTTGGGAGCTTCATATCGAGTAGCCCAGTATGCACTTGATCAGGAATAACCACCTCGTCGCCAACCTTGGTATATTGAACACCAGAACCAATTTCTACAACAACACCAGCAGCTTCGTGGCCCATCACCCACGGCGGCGTAGAACTTCCTAGCACTCCTGCGTAGGTGTGCAAGTCTGTTCCACATATGCCGGCTACTTCCACGCCGATGATAGCGTCGGTTGGGGTCTGGATTTTAGGAATTGGTACGTTTTCTTAGACAAGTTAGTTCAAGAAACAGGAAATACATAGGTAATTAGGACAGCTCTTACGGACGGTGACATTATAAGGAATGCCCGACCACATGACAGCGCGCATAGTCCCATTGAGGGATAGGCTTGAGTTCAAATAAGACATAATGTTAGAACGTTGAGGAAATTGAGCGGAGAGGTCGGGTTATTCTTGTCGCATTAGAATTTCAAGATTTGAAGTCATTTTTATACTTGAGTCTATGTTCATAGGGTGTAGTCTGGGTACGCGAGGGCGTATGCAGGTCCGTCCAAGATAGGCAATGCGATTTTCGGTTCAATTAACGAGATCCCGTTTATGGTTTTTCGTTTTCTCAATTCCAAATCAGCAGTAAATAGGATCCACAAAGAAATCCACATTGCTCTCGATGACCAAGCTGTAGGGTGTTATTGCTTGTATTCGCGTCAATAAGGAGAACAGAGAAGAAGTGGAGGAAGAGCTTACAATCAGCATAGGGATCAAGATCTCTAAAAGGTTCACGTACGCAAGTTTTACAGATATGTGGGTTTATCGAGTCTCCATCGCTGAATAGACTGCTCTGGATATTGAGTTGGAGGTGGGGTCATATTGTCAGATTGCACGATGGCACGGGGTCGCAGAGGAAGGTGTATGCTCGAAACTGTTTCTCTTTCTCGTGTTGGGGCACGGCTGACCAGAGTTGGCCGAGCGGATGTGAGTATGACAACTGGCCAAGATGCGGGGGCAACAGAATGAGGACCCGGTTCCCTGTTCACAGACGTATTATGATCTCTTTTTCTCAGATCTTTCGATCTTCGTTTGATCTCCATCACTTGGCAAGGGTTGAGCAGTCTAATATTCGGAATGACAGGGAGCGAATGTTAATTGTATTTGGAAATCGCGCCCTCTAAACTAACGAAACTTTCCGACCGATTCGGTCTACATGAGAAAAAGCCGACTTCTCTCGTCCAATAAAAACCAGTTATTATCAAATTCCAAACTCACGATATAAAGTAACGCTGAACTCCAAAAATTGAAATCAAAATTCATAACCAATTCTAAGTGCCCAGTCGATATAAAACCATTGGATCTGTATCTCTAGTCTCCGTATCGAGAAAACAAGTTTTACACAAATGAATGTTATGCATATGTAAACACCGCTCTACCGGACTATCATATATATTGGGATCTCCCTCGACAAACTTGAGCTCGACATGCTGACGCGGGATGGGAACAATGAACCGAGGCGGAATTCGATTCCATATTCTCAGAAAACGGTCTTGAAGTCATGTGTGACCGGCTTAGCTGACCATACGTGATTGTTCGCAAGTGTGGAAGTGTTTGCGTCATTTTCCGAATTCCATACGCGCTCCCAGGCTTCTGTATTCCAGCAGGGAGAGTAATTAGATAGTTTGGCAAGGTGGGAAAATAGATGGCGATATGTTGTAATTTTGAAAAAGCAGGAAACGGGAAGTCTGTTCGTGGCGCAAAGTATCCGACGCAGGGAAAGATAGACGGCGGGATGAAGAGAGTGTCGTGCGAGAAGTTGAAATAGCCAGCAAAATGACCTCCGTGGTTCAGCTCTTCGTACCTCTTTAATCCATATAGACGAGATTCGTAGCAAACTTGTAAGACGAGAGGGATAGCTCTTTTCTCCACTGCAATCTGGGGCGCGTGATTCGAGTCGTTCTGGGGGCGCCGTCTGCGGGAATATTGTGCCCGAGAGAGCTTCTCAATAATCCTGTCTTCGCCCTTAACATATAGTTTTGCTGTAGCAGGCTCATCATCAATCAGTCCCCAAATTTTCCAACGGATTTCATAAGGAAGGTGGGAGAACGACATGATTATTTTCACGAACCGGATCAAGGCCGCAAAGTCTAATATATACATAGCCTTGCCTACGACTTTCAGTTTCTCAAAATGGAGGTTAGATTTCGAATGTTGGTTGACGCAATTGCTCAAAAAACCAAAAACCAGGTTTCATCGAGCCAATGAGATAGTGCGTTTTGGATCTTTTTGTTTCTTAGGGCAGGGATTCCATTGGCTAAGAAAATCCAAAATTTGAAGTGGGGTTCTGGAGGCGCGGCTTATTTGAAGGCCAATGGATTTTTGCGCTTTCTAGACTGATTCCATCCAATAGAATCCCTTCCCTAAGAAACAAAAAGATCCAAAACGCACCATCTGATTGGCCTGAAAACAAGCCGCGCTCAATAGTAAACTCCACTTCCGGTTTTGGTTTATATCCAAATTGAAATCTAAAAAGCGTTTCAGTGTTCAAAGAGAAAACGTCCACTGCTGCGTCGCGGAAAACCCTACGTACCGGAAAAACTGATAGGTACTTTGACTTTGATCATCTTTAAATCTGTGACCCGATATCTCCTAAACTTTCTTGTAAGTTATGTTCCGTGGCCACTTCTAGATGCCCAGAACCCTTCCCACTAAAAATCACCTAGCATCGTCGCCATTACGCCTGATTTGTAAAGAGTCTCTTTTGCAGGGTCACAGAGTGCCTCCACCACCGAGCGAAGGGGTCTGATCCAAGCTCGAAGGCCTCGCCACCAAAGAGCAAATCATTATTAGCACTGTGGCCGCTGTGGCGTGCAAATTTATGTATGATCGCGCGGGTCGGTAACTCGGATCAAAGCGAGTATCGATTTTGGTTAGTGCGAAACTACCCCGCAACATTTCACGCCGTAGTGGGGTCAGCGTCAAACGTGGAATGCTGCCTAGGGATCTTCCGGCACCTCTCAGGTTCAGAAGACAGGATAACACTCCGGTTTTTGGCACTGGGCTAGTTATATCCCAGTCAATGTTACATTGATACACAAACTGCAGCTGCGTTAGGGTTCATACAGGCCTCTGGCCCGCTTTTTGAGGTTATTGGCGGAGGGTCTCTCCGGCAACGAGCAGTCACATCATCAAATATGATATCAGAAAAGAAGATGTACTTCATAGGTCTGTAGCCTAACAATCATTGGAATAGTTCAAGGCCCTATTATCCGGCCTGGGCCATACTTATCATTGAAGAACTAAGTTGCCTAGTCTCTCTAACAGGAGTTGGATTCTACTGGATGCCCTGACTTCTACGGAGTAATCGGAGCTGAGACGCATATAGGCCATCTCATGCCCTCAGTCACATCACAATGGCTCCACTAGCACAAGAATCCAATGAACGGGAGGGAGGGGAGAAGGAATGGGGTTTCACTGCACGGCTCTGGGCTTCATCTGTTGTTGTTTTTTGCGCTGAGGGGCAGCTAGGCTTTTTCCTAACCGATGAGCTCGATTCTCGATTATCCGTATCAGTTGGATTTCGTCGCTGTAGCCCTCTATCTCGCGGAACCTATCAACGCTCAACGGAGAAAGTACCCGAATCTTGATATGAAGGCATGAAGGAAAGTCTTTACTTTGCTCGACATTTTCACATACATATCCTCACCTTTCGCTTCTTATCTGAAATTCTCACATCACATTCACATTATTCAATTTAGTCCTAGACCCCACCTCAATCTACTACAGTTTATAAAACCATGGGTCTCTTCCTTCCTACCTCTATTATCAACTATGCAATTACTTCTGGAGCGTCCCTTGTGAACGAGAAGTCATGCCAGAACAAGGACTGCACATATAACAACCCTACCAATGCCACCAAATGCGAGAAATGCGGTGCGGACGTCATTTAAATTTATGGCAACTCGTCTTGTATGTTATTCAAAACATAGTTCACGGTTATGGCTAACTTTGTCTCACAGGTTTATCCGTGGAAAGGCTCGGGGATGAAAATATTGTCAAAGGAGTAGCAGGTCTCAACAATCCTACATTTATCCCGAGAAGTTTTAGTAGGGGGAAGTTTCAACAACTTTCCCAGTTCTTTGGAGCAACTTTTATTTAAGGTGGTCATTGGAATGCGGGCAATATTTGTCTCACCCATTATCACTACGTCTGGGGTATCGGGATATCTTTAGGCGGATATTTGAATTCAACTATCAACATACTCATTACATTCCCTTGTCATTGTCTATTGGTGAAGTGCTTTTCGCCATGTGACAAACTCTTCCTCACAATCAACAAAGCCTCTAATATATAGGGCTCTTTTCAAGGCGTCTCGCCATCCCATCTGATCTTCCTCCGAGAGTCGTTCGTTTTCAACGCGAAAATTTCTGCATTTTGTCGCAATCCAACACCTTGGAAAAAATCCTACAGATTCCCAATCTAGAATTGTAATACACTCGTCGTTATCTCGAACGATGATGTTCACTGCGTTGAGATCGGAGTGGAAGAGGACAAATGGATCGTTTAGCTGAGGTGGTGTGGCCGTTGAGATTAATGTCATATATGCCCTCAATTCCGGGATCGAGAATGGGCCAAGGGTGTCGCGTCGCCAGTAAGGTGTTGAAGGTGGAATGTTTTTCATAAACCAATTTTCTAGTATTCCGCATTTGTCCACAGACTCGTAACGCGATCTCGTAAAGGTTGCAAGCGTCTCCACGTGCGAGGCAACATCTTTAGCTATTCTAGCATGCTGTTCATCACTCAAATCAGGCCACGCTTCTGCTAGAATCCTTCCCTTAACACGCCGCATCACAAGGAATGAACGATTCGCAGCTTCGTCTTCCCAATACCAGATAACTTCCGGCAAAGGAACACTTGGGGCATTCTCCCGCACAAACTTGATCGTAGACGCTTCAGATTGCAGTCCCGGAGTCCATGACTTGACTTTAACCACAGCTTCATTTCCGATGAACCAGACTCCGGAAGCACATCCAGCGTCGTAGACTCTACCTATACTCGCGTCTCCAAGGCCGGGTGCAGGAACTGGCGGCGAACTTGCATTTCGACGAACTAAGTGGAATATCGTTGACCCATCTTTCCAAGAGGCTAATAAGTTTGCAGGATGATGTTCAGTGTCCTCGAAAGCGTAGCAGAGAATTGATGTGCCAATTGTCCAGATCTGAGCAGTGATCTGCTTGACTGTTTCACGGACTGGGGGATCGAGTTCACTATAGAGCGTTAGAACGACGGTGTTCATCCACAAGCGGTGTGCAGTATACCAGATCACCATCGTGTTTAATCGTAATTTAAGATGAAGGTTAACAAGGTGGAATTTAACAGTTGAAGAGGAATTCAACTGTTACCGTGTCAGTCGTAGTGATGCCAGAGATGGAATTTTAGAGCTGGCGCTGACGATCTCTGTAAAGAACCTGTGAGATAGATGTTAAGATCTTCTCCCCGGTCAGACGAGGTATTGACGGTGGACAGGTAAAGCTTTCGGGAGGTGTACAAGTACTACTGTGCACTTGTAGCGGAAAATACCCTGCCAATGGAATAAATAGACTTATTCCGTTCCGAGATCCAGCTTATCTACGAAATGGGGACGCTAGTCTGGTTTACTCCTAGCGCCCAAAATGGATCAGCCTTTGCCGAAAACCCCACATTCTCCAAAGAACCTTTTTGTTTATTCCGAAGGCATACTACCAGCTTTACTAGGGCAGCAATAATGATGATACTCCCTGATACCTATATACGACCTGGTGCAAGATGTGTAATATGCACTGTGCCCTTTAATGAACAAGAACAAGTTGCATTAGGTACCAATTTTTCGACTCCCTTCAACAGAATAAAACTGAACATACCCTAGTTACTAACACTGATGATGGCCGCTATGAATGGACTGGGACATTTGAATTCCCTGCTGCCACAAAGCCCCAGAAGTGTACAGTGTACGATGGCCAACAGCGGAAGGAAAGGAGATTATGTTATAATCCTTTTCAATGCTCCAACGGTTCAACATTTCACTTGGATTGCTTTGATGCTTCAAAGCATCCTGATACCTGCACTAGCGGACACCTGCGATATGTCTGGATATTTAGCTTATGGGCCAGACCTTGGAAAACAGCACCATCATTAGACGACTTTGAGGCTACCCAGCCTATTCCATATGAACCGACTGCGGATGAAATCAAGTGTGAGGGCGATCTCTTGCGGATGTTGCGTAAGTTCCCCCGAGAAATCATGCAAGAAATCATGAAAATGGCCTATGGCTTGCTCTTGTGGAGAATCTTTGCGGCCCGAAAATGGGGGGAGCGGCTGAGCGGCCTAACTGGTGATCAAGTCACACTCCCGATAACTGATATAACGTATTGGAAACGAAATCAATTAGAGGAGTCGGCAGATTTTGTGCGCAGGTCAGCCATCCAGACAGAAGACACACTTACTATCGCTATTGATAATCTTGGTATACGATCTCTAGAAGTGTTGGATTCTTGGCCGTCTGCGATATCTCATCAAGCCAAACGCCATGAAGTCTATGTTGTCGAGAAGATTTCCAACTTTCATAATAGGCTAATGTTAGAAAAGAAGGTATGTCAATTCATTGTTTATTATTTACGAGACTTATTATGTAATAGGGAGATTATATCCGTATCCAGAATATGGACGAGCCTCTTCGACTCTGGGATACTCCAGCCCCTCCATCTTTGCATTCCTGTCAATTCAAGGACAAGGAAACATCTCCGCTGCGACTTGGAACCATCAAGTTAGATACCTCTCTTCGTGGCCTCTCTGTCTTCTGCTGCGACCGTTCTACCTATGGCATTTATCCTCATTACACTGATGATCTATCTTCCGTTCTTGATATTTTCAATCAAATTCCGTTAAGACGACGAAACACTCTTATCTGGCTTTTTTGTCCACTTGCCCAGCAGCAAATTAGGGATGTTTGGCTACGACATGATTCCATACCTATCTTTTCCACTCCGGCTCTCGTGGTAGTTTATATGCCTCCTTTCCTAGAATGCCTTTAACAATTGTATAGGTGAGGACAACTCGAGACCAGATATACACCTTTGGTCCATATGAGACTTCAGGCTGTAGGTTCCAATACCTTGGCAGCACACCCTCTCATATTGTCTTTGAGAATGCCCCACTAGGAGGAGAACTTCCAGCCTTTGGGATTGCAACAGAGATATCTCTAGAGCCCTGCGAATCACCTCAAACTTATCACACACCTAGCCCTCCTTCGGAAATGGAGGGGTTATATTGTTGTAGCGCACTCTTAAACGGGGTACAATGCGCCACAGGTTATTATATGGAAAGCAAAGGAAGCAGCTATTGCGTAGGGATAATGATCAATTATTCAAATGGCCTTCAGCAACCTTTGGGCCAATGCAGACTGGATGCATCTAGACACAAGGTTAACAATCCATTTGGCTTTCATCACCTGTCAGATATCGTTTTTAGATCACGAAAAGAAATTCGCAGGGCGAGGGTCTGTTTGTCTACAACCCTACAAGAGTACCAAGATCTTGCAAAGTCTGGCTGGGAAAGTACAGAGATGAATGATGAATTCAAACTCACATGGCTCTCTTGGTGGCATAAAGACACCTATACCTTTTGCGATATTAGCCATGTGGAAGCACAAATACAGTAGATAATTTAATATCATAACCTAGATCCAGCTCAATGTCACAACTTTAGTTAGACATTCGCACTGCACGGCGTTATCGTGGAAGCCCTATTTAAGGGTTGGAATAAGTGAATGTAAATCAAAATAATATTCATAGATTGTAACACTATAGGAACAAAACAAAACGAAACAAACAAAGCAAGCAAATTCAAGGTAAAAAAGAGCCCTTATATCCTCGCACTCCATCTTTAGCCTTACTCTTTCCTATAGTAAGTTGCTCCATGCTTCTTCCTCCATTTATGAGTTTTCGATTCACTATAATGTCTTGTTCCTTCCTTTTTCCAAGCTGCACTATCTGCCTTCAGATCAGCAAACATTGAAGTTCTCTCCTTTCCCTGAATTAATTTTTTAGACTCAAAATAATACCCATTGTCACCGTCATCATTTTTTCGTTGCTCTAGGAAAGAAACAGGAAGATATAT